TTTCGTTTTGTGTGGTCTACCGTCTTCGAAATTTTAAGAAATGTAGATATTCATTAATATTCACTAAGACATTCTCCCTCTAGAAATTAGAAACGAATTGCTACCTCCACCGCTTGTGAGCTACTGTGAACGGTTAATTATTGGCTCGATTACAAAACTAACTGGGAGTGTCCTGCGAATTCGAACTGCAGGAAGGTCTGATGACTGCAGTTGATGGTAACTTTGCAGTTTTGATCTTTACCAGTTCTCGCGTTGAAGGTGAAAGATTTTGTGAAATCGAACGGTATCCAACAGTTGAAGGTATTCTTTTATCCGATCATGTTTCGAATCCTACTGGAAATGTATTGATTTACATGTAGTATGGAGAGATTATTCTTTGGTTTCTTCTGGTCTACTGATCTTGATCAGCTTGTGTGCGAATGCTTCGGTTGTCGCGTAAAGCTATTTCTTTCATTTCCTAACATTAACAAGTCGGCCATTTGGTTGCTAAGAATTCTTAGACTCTCTCCCTAGACGACCTGCCAACCGTCAAAGTTTGAAACTGGGGTCAACGAAACTTCAACTCAATGGAAGAGATCTGAAGGTAAAATAATAAAGTCTATTTTAAGACAGAAATGATTACACACAACTGTTTTAATCGACCTAAATGATCTAACTTACAAAATATGTCATACAACAACTTGAAAACCCAGTTCCAGCAGGGAAATCTAAGATTATAACAAGTTTGTCAAAAAATAAAGAAAAAAGGTTTTAAAATGCGGCACTTTTCCAGTTTCTAATTACTGCACGATTCATTAGGGCAAACCTCCTGATGCCTTTCCTATTCCTTAGGCAGGAATCAATCATAACCCAAAAGTCATGCCTTAATCCTTCCTGATCAACAGAAATTATCTCAACACAATTTCCCAAATTCTAAGCATTTTTTTCTGTGTGAAGTGGAAGTTTGTTCTAAACTCTTATGACATTCCACCCATCCAGTTTGGAAGAGGGAAAAAAATTGTTGTACCAGGTGCACTGCAAAATTCTTCTCTGAGGTGGACTTAGATTGAAGTGTGAAAATTGTGGAATCGTTGTTAATGGTGAATTCCTGGGTGACTGGCTGCTCTCAGGCGGTTTGCGCACTCTGATTGCGTTGCATCATGGTCGTAAAACGAAAAGCGAGTCATTTGCATCCTGTCGCGGTCGAGTGAACATCTCTTGCGGCAGCGAGATAGCGTGAATAAACGTGGAATGTAATGGGGATTCACTGTCTGTTACCGTTCCTTCGAAAGTTAAAAAGTATTATTCCTCTGTGACAAATTCGTTATTAGGAGGTAACTGAAGAAATTCACAAAGAATCAAAACTGCAGCCTTGCCCAAGAATCTATTCATTTGGTAGCAGTTACACTCACAGCAGATGGCTGTGTGAATTATATCAAATTCGCGAGTTATTTAACGGGAAATCGACCCTTGACATGCAAACGCATTATATTACAAAGTGACAGCGACCCCTTAATACACGAACTACTTTTCATGTCATACACTTAAAGGCGTCCTCCGGAGCAGTCTTAAATCCCTCGCAGCTCATGTGTAACCATTCCTCGCACAACTCGCACTGTACCATGTCGTCCCAACACTCGGGCATTGAATCATGACAAAATAAATTAGTGTCACAAATTTTTCTCTTATTGAATCCAGCGGTGTTCGGCTGTCGCGGAAAAGGTTCAGAAACGACCTTTCTCCAGACATTAAACTAAATTCTTGCCCATTTTCCCTTGGTCAAAAGAAACATCCGACGAGATGCCAGTTTGTATGCATTAACGATACGCATGTATTGAATTAAAACATACTTTAGTACGCACTGGAACGTAAAGTATCATCCATTTTTACTAGAACGTTAAGGATAATGTTTTCAATCAGTTTTTTTGGGGGGTCCATATCCGCTATCGGATTTTGACCGGAGGGTCCAAAACTAGGGGGGCCCAAATCCGCTGGGACACCGGCTTACCCGGCGTGTCGCCGTGTGCATTGTAGAGTTATTTACTGGTCAAGTGACTCCTTTCGTTGCTCTAATTCACCTCTCCTTCATTCAGTGATCAAGATAGTAGATTTACCATACAACACTCGCCATTAGTAAATTTCCTTTTACTGAGGAAAGTAGATTTACAACACAATTGAGTATACGATAGTAACGCTGTGTAACGCAACAGTAGGCCTCTTCTTGGCCATAATCGGTCTCAAACACTATCGCTTTATGTGCTAGGAACACATTTGAGAGCGTTTGGTCAGAGCTGCTGAAGAAGGATCAAAGCGGCCATCCAAATCTTTGAAAAGCTCCAAACTACGACGTACATCAACTTTGACCTTCTCGAAAACCGGTCTCAAATTACCTACTGAAAAACAGTTATTGCATTTGTCCTTGGGAGCCATAGAATACGCGACAAATACGAACAAAAAAATACTTTTACACATTCAGAATAAATCAAATTATATTTACCTATAGTGAAAGGAAAAAGGAACGGCCTAATTTTTACTAAATGTTCAGTCAAAATCAGCCGATTTCTGCTGCTTTCATCGCCATATTGAAAATGAAGCTACCACAATGCAACGCAATCGGAGTGCGCACACCGCCTGGGCTGCCCTTGTATGGTCAACTCTGTGCATAAAGGCAACACTGTTTCCCCAGAGACAGCAAGGTAGAAATGACTCAGATAGGTTCTTAGGACTCCAATTAGAGTGTCAACATGTTCCAATGTTTCTCTTTACGGCTCAGAAATATTATTTAAATATTCCAGTTCTACGTGT